AATCAGAGTCTTTGAATCACACATGAGAGAGCGAAAAGAGTTTCAATTTGACATTAATCAAGCAATGTATAATCTTGAGAGTAAGGATATCCGTCAGACGGAGAGGGAGTTGGATAATTGACAACGAAGTTCACTCAGGTAGTCCGGGTCCTGTGTCTAGTTTTTTACAGCTAAACGTGTTTACAAAATGGTCTGCTTGAACATTAACAGTCTTGGACGGTTAAGAATATATGAAAGTCATATATTTGAACTGCGGATAAAGACGTGAATGAAAGTGATCCTCGCAGTGATGTGCACTACCTAGGCAGTAGTGAAAATAAGGCCTGAAAAAAAATTCAGGCCTATGGGGGTTTGAACCCATGGCCTCTGCGATACCGGTGCAGCGCTCTACCAACTGAGCTAACAAGCCAACTCCCACTGCGAGGATGACCAGCTCCCAGTTGGCTTGCATTGATGACTTTGAAGGAGACACCTGCGAAAAGCGTGAGTAAACTTTTAACAGTACATCAGTTATGTTCAACGAATGCTTTTGTGCTTGTGTAGATTTGTTTCGTAAAGAACGTAACACAATTATTCTGATTCTTCTACAGGGCTCCCTTGTCCACCTGGCAAAAAGACGGACGATCCTCAAGGCCGTTGCTGTGTTTTCCCTTTTGAGTATGGAGGAGTAACTTACCAATCTTGTACCAACGGATAGTGTTCATTTGACGAAGGTTACGTGGGAAACTGGGCTAACAGCGGTAAGGAATAAAAGTTACAAGTTTAGCAATATTAAATTCAATAAAGAAGTTTTTTGAAACGATTATTACCTTTATTGACCAGCTATAAGAAACAAAATAGCATTCAACGGTAACCCTTCACAATATCGACAATCTCCTTTCAGCATTATAAGACAGTTTGTTTTTCCATTAAATCTAAGCGACTGTTGATAAAAACAGGTAACTTTTCCGATTATGCTGACAGGGAGAGTTAAACGAAAACTGGATCAGAGTTAGCTTTCAATCCTCTTTGCTACTTAAGAAGCTTGTGTTGACTCAAAAACATTTATGGAGTGGATATTGGTTACCCTCTTCCGTACAACATGTAGGGGGGGAGTAAAAATGCTAAATACTGTTTTGAGAGCTTGAGGTTATGATTTGTTCATGTGCCAATTTTTCAAAATAGTCTATTGGATGTTTTAGCTGATAGTCAACGAAGTGTGTTTGGCTTTCCTCAGCGAGCCACAAAATTTTCACTAGACACAAATCATTACCTTTGATGTGTCAATAGCACATAAATACCTTTGCAGATTTCATATCCTGAGATGAATTCATCCATATCTAAGGTAATTTTCTATGTGGAAAACAAATCCATCTACCTCAACAAATAAATAACCGAGGCCGCCTAATGCAAAGTTTTTTTTATGAACCCTAGTGAACCCGTGTACAAACAACCCTTGCCAAAATTAGGGAGACTGCACAGTAACTGGAGATGATTATTACAGCTGTAAATGTGCTGACGGATATTACGGAGAAACTTGTGAAAAAGGTACCAGCATGATAAATATGATCGTTTTAGACATTTTTTTGCACGTAGAGGCGACTAATTTGCCAATCATAACGGACTACTACTCTGCCAATCATAATGTTTCATTTCCTCAGTGAGCCCTTGTAAATCACATCCATGTAAAAATTGTGGAACATGCACAATGACGGGTCTTGATTCATTCTCATGAAAATGCACTGATGACTTTGAAGGAGACACCTGCGAAAAGCGTGAGTAAACTTTTAACAGTACATCAGTTATGTTCAACGAATGCTTTTGTGCATGTGTAGATTTATTTCGTAAAGAACGTAACACAATTATTCTGATTCTTCTACAGGGCTTCCTTGTGTACCTGGCAAAAAGACGGACGATCCTCAAGGCTGTTGCTGGGTTTTTCCTTTTGAGTATGGAGGAGTAACTTACCAATCTTGTACCAACGGATGGTGTTCATTTGACGAAGTTTACCAGGGAAACTGGGCTAACTGCGGTAAGGAATAAAAGTTACAAATTTAGCAATATTAAATTTATTAAAGAAGTTTTTTGAAACGATTATTACCTTTATTGACCGGCTGTAAGAAACAAAATAGCATTCAACGCTAACCCTTTAATAATATCGAGAATCTCCTCTCCGCGTTATAAGACAGGTTGTTTTCCATAAAATCTAAGCGACTACTGATAAAAACAGGCAACTTTTCCGATAATGCTGACAGGGAGAGTTAAACGATTTCTTCATGTGCCAATTTTTCAAAAATAATCTATTGGATGTTTTAGTTGATATTCACATAATTTTCACTAGACACAAATCATTACCTTTGATGTGTTAAAGGCACTTAAGTGCGATAGTCTGTAACTTTCATACTTTCGTCGGCCACTTCATTCTGTCGATTTGGCTGAAATTTGGCATGAAGTCTTAGTCTATGGTCCTCATCACGAAACGGATATTAAAAAGTGCCAGTTATTTTTGCTTGCCAATAAAATGGGAAAGTGCATTTGGTCTGCCCATATTTGCCCGCCAATATGGAGAATCGAAGGTGATCTTTTAAATTCAACTCGAGTCCTATCGTAAATGTTTCTCAAAATCTCGCGATATTCCTGAAAAGATCTTCCCTTCCCCTTAGAATTTATTTAAAAAAACATAGCAAATGTCTGGTTTTAACAATATATGATCCCAACGTTCTAAGGTCGCTCTAGGCCGCCTTGAACAGTGAAAAATTTACCCCAAGTTAGTAACCGAATATCTCCAGTGTTACCTCGATCCAGAAGTTACCATTTGCTGTGAACAACGTTTGTTCATAGATGAACAGATTTCATAAAAAAAAAGAATAGGGGATGATTCGCTCCTATGATTGAAGGGCTACTTTATGTTGAAGATTTCACCACTAACTGATTTTTGCGTA